AGAGATTCTGTTGATAGATAATGACTGATGGACATCTCAAGACTCCCATGGGATATTCCAGTTTCACAAAATTTTAGCTGAGGAGCCCTGAGTTACGCCACTGAAGATCTGGGCCACTAGCATGTCAAATAACTATATATTCTGTAGTCTCATAAAAAGTGGAGCCCTGGATGTTTCTGCCCTATACTTCTTTTGAACCACAACCCTTAAGGATTCACATAATGGATCTTTAATAGTAGGTCCATACTAGAGGGATTTCTGGTCTGCATCTGTGCTAGTGAGGTAATTGCAAGACAGATCAAAGAAACTATCAACTATTATTTTAGTTTTAACCCAAATCAGGCAATTCTTGATCTCTGTGTGGGTTGCTGAAATCAGGGTATTGTTTAAAGTTCTTTTTCAAATTTATGATGAACAAGGACTAAGACTGCTAAGGAATATTAAAATAAACATTATTTGCTGTTGACATTTCAAATCATGTAGTTTAAAAAGTGAATGTTTTAAATTCTTTATTATCCTAAAAGGACATATTCCCTAAAGTATAATCAAATGCTCTGGAATCTAATAAATCAGAAACTAAAATATGTTAATACATGTACAATCAGTGAAAATATCTCAATGCTATAAATGATTGTCATATTAACTTCCTTTGGTACAAATAGAGACATAAAGTGCTTCCTTTAAAAAAAAATGGCATTAGAGGAAGTGGAAGTTTACTTTTGAAATCTGACCCAAATACAGTAAATGCAGATCCTCCCTTGAATATACTCGGAATAAGAAAACAATAAAGAAGTCTGAACATGTTGTGACTATAGACTGATACAATTAATTTTCACATGTGGCTTATGGAAATTCCACCAGATATTGGTGCTAAATAATTTGTTTAGATCTGAAAAACAAATCTGTAAATGGGCATAACGTGTCAGCTCTGGGTTGAAGGCAGATGTGGGGAAGAAGGGAAGATTCTGACGCTGCCATGAAGAGTCAGAGGATGATACTCAAGTCTGGGCGGACTGGAAATGAGAAAATCCAGAAAGACTTTCCAGCAAAAGGGAGGAGGGAAAACGTGAAGGTCAGATGTTGGGAATTCCACAGGCGTTGAGGACAAAAAGGTCTTCAAATTTGTGATTATCTGACAGCTGCCTGCTTGAAACCTTCTCTCCTAGTCTTCATGACACTGCACTCCTCTGGTCCTTGTCCTGTTTCTTTGACCATCCTCTTGGGTCCTGTGGTTTCAAGTTGATGTCCACACGTATCCTGAGGATTTCATTTCTAGATGTCCAACTGTTCGGTAGATATTCCTATTTAATGGCTTGTCAGTGTATTCAGAACTGATACTTCCACACTCTTCCCAACCTACGGCTCACTCCTTACTCTCATTGCCACATTACTTAACGTCAACCAGGGTCATATTTCATAGTTCTCCATTTCCCTCCATTTCTGATCAGTGATCAGATCTCATGGCTCCTGTCACTCCTTGGTAATAATGTCTGCAAACACTTTACCACCCCTCCTGCCATCACACTAGTACCTCTCACCTAGGACTCCCATTTCTTATTGGTTTCTGGTAGAAGATCCATTCCTAAAAATGGTCCTGGGGCTGGCAGGGGAAGGTTCCTACTGCTAACTAACATTTGAAAAATGCAGCAACCATCACTTTCCTCTTGGCCAGCCATAACACACTTTAGCATATGACTGATATTTCTCAGATCCGCTCATCCTGAAACTCTGTTCATCAGCATCTAGCTACTCATGTTCCAGGAAACACACTTTGGGAAACAAAAACTTGGACTATCTAAACGGCCTCTACACTGCTCTCCTTGCCTAATCTTTCCCTTTCCAGTGCCTCGAGAATTTCATTGATAGACTAATTTCTCTAAAGTGCTTAACTGATTATATTATTCCCTTGCTCAGAAACCTTCAGTGGCTCCCCATTGATCTAAGCAGTGATTAAGCACCAGGTTCTCCACAACATGGTACGAATATACCTCTCCAGTGTTATCTTTCTCCCTACGTGGCAGTGTGGCATGGGAGAAAAGACATGAACTTTGAAGTCAGATCCAGGTTCAAATTCCAACTCTGTCTCTTAAAGACTATAAAACAGGGGCGCCTGGGTGGCTCAGTCGTTAAGCATCTGCCTTCTGCTCAGGTCATGATCCCAGGGTCCTGGGATAGAGCCCCACATCCGCTCCCCACTCAGTGGGAAGCCTGCTTCTCCCTTTCCCACTCCCCCTGCTTGTGTTCCCTCTCTCGCTGTGTCTCTCTCTCAGATAAATAAAATCTTTTTTTAAAAAACCTGTAAAACAGGTAAGTATTGAATGCTTTGAGCCCTTTCTTTGCTCATCTGCAAGTGCACATGGTAACTGTAGAGATGGGAGGATGTAGTGACATAGTATTGGTGAAAGCTTCTCGAATAATTGTAGCACACCCTCTCTGGCCCCTCTCTGGTTATAAACTCATTAGTCAGGTTGAACCTCTTTCATGTTGTAGTCACTTAAGGCCTGCCTGCAGGAAGTGACCAGTGATTTTTTAAATTAAGAACCCAGAAACAAACAAAAACCAAACAAACGAAAGAACCCAGAGGATCACCTGCCAGTGTCATTGAGAACTAACAAAGCAGTTCTCTACCCTTATTTGGGGAACTTTCTATGGGTCCTCAAGGGACCGGAGCCAGTTCCTACAGCACATGCACGCTTTTTAGGTGGAACCATACCACTGGCCCTTGGCTAGGTGGGGGTGCAAGGTCCCAGACTCAGCAGTAGTGCTTGGAAAAGCAAATCCTTGATTCAAAGAGATGAAACAAAAGCTGCACTTTTGTTAGATTCAGAAACTTTTAAATGTGCTTATGATTTACTTCAAAGTCCAGAGTGAAGAAAATACAAGGTCCTCAACAGCCCTGCCTAAGGAGGAAACAGGGATTTTTGCTCGATTTGTTCACTAGTGTAGCCTAGTGCCTAAATAGTGTCTTGCATGTAAAGGATGCTCAGTTAATATATGTTGGAAGGAGGGATGGAGCGATGGTGGGTGAATGAATGAATGAACGAATGAATGAGGCCATGGCATGCATTTTAGAAATGATCTATCATAGTGCTCAATATATATAGAAGGTCCTTAATAAATGACTGGCTAAATATATAGATTGTACCCTAGCCACTTAAGGGCATTTAGTAGTGTACCTTAAACTAAATATTATTCCTATATATTTTTACTTTATAAAATATTTTTATGTATTACCTATATTATCATCATTCTCTTTCTTTTAAAATGATCTATTCATTCATCTATTTCTCCCCTCAAAACAGGAGAGTGTCACAGCTTAAAAGCAAGTGAGGAGAGAAAATGAAATTAAAAGGTTAACTAGATATTTTTAGTCAAAAAGTTAAAAGAGTTTGTCTAAATTGGTTTGACTGCACTGAATGGAATGAAGAGAAAACAAACTTCATTTTTTAAAAAGCTGGAAGAAGATGGAGGAAAATGAGGCATAACGTGTGCAGAATGTGTTTGATAAACTTGTTGAGAAAGAATGTTACACTTATAACACCACATTTGGTACACACTTCACTCAAAGTTTTTATAATTATCATTCTCGTATGAGGGAAGAATAGCCAGATTCCCCCTTCACAGCTATAGGAACCAAGGCTCAGTAAAGGTAATGATCTATACCTCCAATAAGAGGTAGATCCAGGGGTGGAATCCAGTTCTTCCAAGTATTCAGGAAAAAATACAATTGTCAAAGTGTAGAGCGAGCCTGACACATTTAGAGAACATGAAGAGTTAGGGTGAATAGGGTACCTGGTTGGAATGAAGGGGGTATATAGAAAAGTCACAAGACATCAACTTAAAGAAATAAATAGGAGACAGATTATAGAGTACCTTGAGTAATACAATAAAGAATTTGGGCTTTTATCTATATCAATTATTTTGAAATTATTTTTAAAGCCAAAAAAATCCTCTTTAAAATAAAAAACCTGATATGAGATGCCAAGATGCAAAACAAATTAAAAGTAGGTTGTTTCTCCAGTTGAAGCTGTTCTGCCTTCCTGCGCCTCAGGTTTTGAGGAGAAAAGGTTGAAAACGGCGCAAAAAGGTTTAAACCAAGAAAAGTTTGAAAAGGCATGAGTGCTGACATGTGTTTGGGCAAGGCAGAGACGAGCTAGTGGCAGAGGGACCCACCGTGGGAGGCAGAGAGCGCGCGCGCGGGGTTGCCAGTGGGAAGGGAAGGCAAAGATGCTGGGGACAGGGGGGGAATCAGAACAGAGCCGGGAAAAGTTCAAAGATTCAGTCATGGGCAACTGTAGGACGTGACCGACCTCACAATCACAAAAATGGTGAAGGCGAAGGAGAAGGCTGCTGGTTTCGGTGAAAGGCAATGACGTACTTTTAAATGTGTTTTTGTCATACAGACATTTGCTCTGCACTGTGCTAGGGCCAGAGGAATGGAAATCAACCCCTTTCTCTCTACCAGTTTTCTTCCCTTTTTCAAATAGATGAAACAAAAGTGCATGGCATGAGTCAGAAAGCTGCACTTCTTGGCCTATTTCTAAATTTCAAGTGCTTAAGTTTTCACCTGAAAGTCCAACATGAAAACTTTTCAGAATCCTCAAAGACCCCATTCTAAAAAGGAAAAAAAAAAAAAAAAAGACCATTTCCATTTTTGTAAACTTTCTGTTCTTCCTTCTGGATAACTAGCACATGAATTTTTCTCTTTAAAAGCTTGTTTCCCCCGATGGCATGAAGTACAATTGATTTCGAGGGTAATTATTGTGAAATCCAAGATTTGTGTGTGTCTGTGTGCTTTAGAAACTAAATGATAAAAGTGAAACGTGAGGATATGCGCATCCAATCAACTACAGTAATTCTGATGCGTATTCTTGTGAGAATCAATACCAGGTCTTGGCAAGCGGTGTGTAAAGAGTACAGGCTCCTCTTCCTCTGTGTTTCTGAAAGTGGTGATGCAAGCGCTCCCGCCCTTTTCTGAGAACACAGAACAGAACGCCTGACTCAGGCAGGCAGCTGCGGCTCTTAAAACAGCGCCGGCCCCGCACGCTCCCTCCTGGGGTGAGCGCTGCCACCAACATGAAGCCAGCCAGCTTCTGCTGGCTGAGCTCGGCTGTCCTTGCTGCTTACGGCTTGTTGGTTGTGGCAAACAATGAAACGGAGGAAATTAAAGATGAAACGGCCAGGGATGCCTGCCCGGTGCGACTAGAAAGCAGAGGGAAATGCGACGAGGGCGGCCAATGCCCCTACCAGGTGAGCCTGCCCCCGTTGACGATTCAGCTCCCCAGGCAGTTCGGCAGGATCGAGGAGGTGTTCAAGGAAGTCCAGAACCTCAAGGAAATGGTAAATAGCCTGAAGAAATCTTGCCAGGACTGCAAATTGCAAGCTGACGACAGCCGGGACCCAGGCAGAAATGGACTGCTGTCACCTAGCCCGGGATCCCAGGGAGAAGCCGATGACAACAGAGTTCGAGAATTAGAGAGTGAGGTGAACAAGCTGTCCTCTGACCTAAAGAATGCAAAGGAGGAGATCGACCTGCTTCAGGGTCGCCTGGAGAAGCTCAATCTTGTAAATATGAACAACATAGAAAATTATGTTGATAGCAAAGTGGCAAATCTAACTTCAGTTGTCAATAGCTTGGATGGCAAGTGTTCGTCTAAGTGTCCCATTCAAGAACAAATACAGTCACGTCCAGGTATGTACAATGTATTCTTACCAGTTGTTCATGACTATTATACAACTAGATAGTAAACATTAACCTGACCAAATAAGTTAAATACATGACAGAGGAAATAAGTAAGCCTTTTAGTCATCAAGGTAGTAGAGGAAAAGCTAATATCTTTGCAAATGTGGCCACAGAAATTATATAAGACTTAATTACAAAAATCATAATTAGTTCTGTATCCTGTGAAAGCACTTCCAATTTCAAAGAGCTTATTTGCTAATGCCAGAGCTACACACAAACTGGAGTAGAGAGATATTAGTTCTTAATGTTTCAGTGCATTTAACTTATCTCTTCACTGAAATGTTTGAAAACAATAGAGATACGGCAATATTTCCAGTTATGCTTTGTTCATTGGGAATCAAGTTTCCTGTGGTTGGCTGACTGCTCCTTCTCATGTGGCCACAAGGAATCTTTGAAAGATTTTTGCTTATCTACAGTTGGTAATCCCAAACACCTAGTGAAAACAGGAGATTTTATAGATGGAATAAAAGCATCTATATGGCTTCATGTGTGTGCAGAACTTTTTGATTTGAGTGGCCCAAAAACATTTTAAGGGGAGAGTTTTGGCATACCAGAAGACCACAGACTTAACTACTACTTCTTAACTTAACTACCTAACTACTACCACGAAGCCCACAAACTTCTAGCTGTGGCACTGGTGCTTCCAAATGCTGCCTTTGTACCTGAGTTCCTGGGACACTGCTCCTGATGGTCTTGCTACACTTTGGAAAGCCATCTCTGCATTAAGACCTCCACTTACCATGAGTGTGAGGTTGGAGGGACATGATGCCTGGGACAGAGGTCACATTCATTTGGAACAAGCACCTCATGCGTGCTCCATCCCTAGGGATCTGCCAGGGATCTGAAGGTAGGCAGGGCTTTCAAGGACCACTGTTGCTAATACTTCTGGCAGCCTGTATCTGACTGTATCCTGCACTGCACGGCAGAGGCTCACGTCTTAGTGCCATCTCTGGGCACACATTAGATTTGATGCTGCATGGCAACTTGTAATGATATGCACAATTTTCTACCATCTATCTTTGTACTGAAAGTTTGGGGGAAATATTGGAATACTGTGAGTTCTAAACACACATGAATAGATTTTTTTGCCTCTGAGTAGCTCATATTAAATTTACCTTATCTGGCCCAGATCTTTATAAGAAATATTTGAGAGTAAATATCTGTATTTGATTCCTACAGAACCATGTTAACTGATTATTATACTTGCCCTGGACATAACCACCTGTTGTTTCTTTCTAGAAACCAAACATATGAAACACTGGCTAAATACTTTCCAGATAATAAATTCAGAATAAGAATACTGGTATATTATTTTTAAAAATCTTTTTTTTTTACTCGATCTTCTTTATTTAGTTGTCAAGCAAGGAAAACAAATGTGAATTTATGATCAATTCTGTACATTAGAATTTTAACACATCATTTGGAATATATCCTATAAAACTTTATGAGAGAGGAGGGTAACAACCCCTTGAGGTGAAAGGACATAGAAACTTGTGCTTTTTCTGTATACGTGGAATGCAGTTCTGGGAAGTTGGAAGCATCTGACCTTTAGGACCAAGGAATGTAGTAGTTACAAGAATAACCTTTACAGCCAGCCAGATCTCAGTATGGGTCCTGGCTGTGCCACTTGATGCTTCTGTGAACTTGGGCAAGCCACTGATTCTCTTTGAGCCTAAATATCCTCACCTACAGATTGGAAGTAATACCTATATCATAAGGCCAATGTGCAGAGTAAGTGTGAAAATGTTAAGTCTTTGGCAGAATGCCTAGAACACATAAGTAGCACTCACTAAATATTAACTAAACTACTAAAACTACTTTATTGATGGGGGTCTCGTTGTTGTTAGTTGTGAACATTATCACTATGAGTACCAACCAAGAGTCATGTTGGAAAGCCTTGTCTGCTTTTATAGCACCAAGTTCTTATTCTGAGGCCTTAACAAACATTTGCTAAACAGGCTCAAGTGAGTTTTGCAGAGCAGGGTTTCATTAACACCTTCGACTGAATTATCAAACTGCTTTTGTAAATATAAAGAATTTTTAAGATGCACAGTTTTTATTAACAGAATCCAATGCCCTTCTCTTCTTGCCCCTTCAGTTCAACATCTGATATATAAAGATTGCTCTGACTACTACACAATAGGCAAAAGAAGCAGTGAGATCTACAGAGTTACACCAGATCCCAAAAATAGTAGCTTCGAAGTTTTCTGTGACATGGAGACCATGGGGGGAGGCTGGACAGTGCTGCAAGCCCGTCTTGACGGAAGCACCAACTTCACCAGAATGTGGCGAGACTACAAAGTAGGCTTTGGAAACCTCAGAAGAGAATTTTGGCTGGGGAACGATAAAATTCATCTTTTGACCAAGAGTAAGGAAATGATTCTAAGAATAGATCTTGAAGACTTTAACGGTGTCAAACTCTATGCCTTGTATGATCAGTTTTATGTGGCCAGTGAGTTTCTCAGATACCGTTTACACGTCGGTAACTATAATGGCACAGCTGGAGATGCCTTACATTTCAGTAAACATTACAACCATGATCTGAAGTTCTTCACCACCCCAGATAGGGACAATGATCGATATCCCTCTGGGAACTGTGGGCTCTATTACAGTTCAGGCTGGTGGTTTGATGCATGTCTTTCTGCAAACTTAAATGGCAAATATTATCACCAAAAATACAGAGGTGTCCGTAATGGGATTTTCTGGGGCACCTGGCCTGGGATAAGTGAGGCACAGCCTGGTGGCTACAAGTCCTCCCTCAAAGAGGCCAAAATGATGATTAGACCCAAGCACTTTAAGCCATAAATCACTAATGCTCATTCTTCTTGAGTATTCATTACCTAATAGGGCAATTAATTCCTTTAGCACTTTGGAATATGTTTCATACTCCTTTTCTATGACTAAAAATTTATCTCTAAGCAGTGGGTTCTTATGCTACACAGCATTTGAAATAAAGCTGAAAAAATATACATTTTAAAGGAGTTCTTTGTTGCTGTTACACTGTTATCCAAATGAATACTTGCAAAGCAAGTGGGATTACTGAGAATTACACAAGTAGATTTATGATTTTCTTAACTTCTATAGTTGAAAAGTTTTCTATTTACTTGTATTACTTATTATAATTATGAAATCATTGTTTATTTAGCAAGCTGGATTTTTACACAAGTAATCTGAATTTTTATTGTGACTTAAATACAGTTAATGGTAGATCACTCTTTTCAGGCTGTCCTCAGTTATGGGGTGTTTCTTTGTCTCTGAATACCCTAATCCTCATTCTGAGATAAACTTTCTCAATTTATGGCATTACTTTGGTTCAGGAAGACCCTACAGCATTTTAGTTCTCAGATGAAGGGAAATATATAGAATTAAACCTGTTCAGGTACTATTTGTGAAATGTAAAATATTCGTCATTTAAAATATTTTAAAAGTGGTAGCATAATGTCACTTCTAAAAGCATTCAGAAAATTCAACCGTAAAGACCATGGTTTCAAGGTAATTAATTCACAGTTAATAGCTATTTAGGTGTTGCATGGTGAAAACTGCTTTAATATAAAAATTAGCTTCCTTTGCTCTGTATGCACAATAGTTTTTAAGATTGCTCACTACTGTGCGTGACTACTAGTAGGCTTTCTTTTGGAAGGATAGGTGTGGGTGGGGAATAAAGCATTTATTTATAGACTAGAATACTCTGAAGGCCAAAGCATTTATATCCAAAGCAATAATTTCATTAAGTGATTCACTTCATAGAAAGCTAAGTTTTATAGGACGTATGAATTTTGAAATATATAGTAGTTCAAATATTATGTATTTCAATCCTAACTGGTGTATTGCTTATTTTTTTTAAAGCTTTAAATACAGGTGTTTATTTTTTTAATCAAATTAAAATATCTGACACTTTTATAATTCACTAATTCTGGAGTGTGGGTATCATTTTTAAAAGATTATAAAAAGTAGTGTGTTAAATTTCATCACTGTAAAAAGGGATCATTTCAGAGAGAACAGTAGTATTCTGTTGAACATTTAAAAAAATACTCTAGAATAAAATTTGAATAAAATAATGTGAGCCATAGAAATATATTTAATCTTTAATTTCTAGTTTGTTTCTACTACAGTAACCAAGTTTTCAAAATAAACTCATAAAGATGCAACTTTACTCCTTTGAAAATGATTAAGGAGGATAGTTGCTTTAGGTAACAAATTAACTTTTTCAAATATTGCCCTTTATAGAAAATTCTAACCAAAAAGAAGCAAGATATTCTTTAAAAAATATATGACATACAAAGTTCTCAGGTACACATGATAAAAATTAGGTTATTACGAACACTATTAAAATGTTAAAGCAAGAGAAATGCAGATAGAATTATGATGACCAAAATGTAAAATATCATAGATTTCAAAGGATTCGTATCTACTCAATAGTTTAATAGATGTAAATGTAACTGATTTACTCTTCATTTCTCTCTCTTTTCTTTTAAAAAAAGATTACGAAGATTTCGATATACAACGTATTTATTTCAGATAAGAGGATTTTCCTTTACTATATGGAATTATTAATATATGTGTAGGTTTCAGTAAATTTCTGTGATCAAAAATGGACTCGTCAGGCAGGATCTTACCCCCTCAAACTTCTATTTCTCACACAATGAAAAAAAGAAAAAAAATGGACTCTTCATGAAATAACAGTTCTAAAGAAAAATAGCTCATATAATGAGTGTCCACTGACTTAATGGGAACGAGGTATCATTTCAGGAGATTTGGCAAATAATTCATTAATCCATGTAAATATTCAAAAGCTTGTCCTTTTATCTTTCTACCTTATTTCAAAGGATCAAATTTTATTTTCGATTATACTTTTATGGTACTTTTCTAATAAAAATTTCTGTGACATAGAAATTTCTTTTTGAAATCATTTCATGTCATTTATAAAATATATTTTATACTTTGATATCTTTAACATGTTGATGGAAACAGATTATGTCTGAGAGTCTTTTGCCTTAACTATTCACTAATATATGCTAATGTTCATAAACGTGGATTGATTATTAACAAATATTTCAGTCTTGGTTACATTTTAAAGGGTAATATTTGTTATCTTAATTAAGACTTTATTTCTAAGCTTTATCATTCTTTGAAAATGTTGACTAAAATTAGTCCTTAGAAATTCCAAGTGAAACTAATTCACTCATTGCTGAGAAGAAAGATCAAATTTTTCTTATAAGCGGTAATGTTTCAAATGAACTAATGACACATCTGTCCAGTAAAATAAAGAGCTTAAATATATGAAGCATGAAAGATATCCTAGTAACAAAATTTGCTGGTCCTTATTTTTGAATGGCTGCTCAAGGAAAGTTTTTAAAAGTTAAAGTGATGGATAATGTCATGATAAGCTTTTGTTTAGAATTCTTATTTTCTTTTATGTATAAATAGGTTTATGTCTTTAACAACCCTGTAAAATAAAAGATTTAATCTTCACCTCTGTTTATTTCTGCAATGTGGAAACCTTAAATAATACTGTTTGTAAAATAATATTTATATATTTACTCTTGTCTGAAAAGTTGCATAGTGTTTACCTAATTAGGCTTTACCTTTGACTCCATAAAGATTTTAATGAGTTCTATTTCGTTAACAGGAAGACAGAGGCAAATACAGGAACACCATTATCTTATTTCCCTCCAGAATACTGTTGACACATTGGAAATACAAAAGTTTCAGTTTCCTTTTGCAGCATTCAGCTCCATCTTTTTCCATCATTAATGTTGCTCTTTTGGCTCAGCCCCTATCAACTCCTTTGGATAATGCAAACGCTTTCTCAGAGTAACCCATGCCCCCAGTTTCAATCTGTTCCAAAACACCCTCCATTTCACTGTCAGAGGGACTATTCAGAAATACAATTCTGATTGTATTATTCCAGCAACCCCTCATTTCCTATTGTATAAAAATCCATACTGAATTCCTTGTTCTCAAACAATCCCCATGTTCTCTGAGTTTTTCGCTATTTTGTGTATACTGTTCCCTTGGTCTAGATAGAATGCCATCCTCAACCCCTGCTGAGTTTTGTCTTATCACTCATGAATCAGAGCAGGGACTCAGGAGCTGGACTTGCTAGATTTGAATTTCAGCTCCACCCTTTGTAAGCGGTGTGATCACAAGCAAAGTCACTTAATCTCACTGTCCCTTGGTTCTTTCAGTTACAAAATGGATAACAGTAGAATCTGCCTGGGGGGAAAGAAAAGAATCTGCCTGATAGAGTTATTGAGAAGATTAAATGAGATAACATATATGAAACACCTAGAACGTGTGTGTGTGTGTGTGTGTGTGTGTGTGTAATCATCATCATCATCATCATCATCATCCTAAATAGTTATCTCTTTTGGGCAGTCTGTTCTGATAACATTAGGAGGGGGTTGGTACCTCTCTTCTTGGGTCCTATACCATCCTATATATTCCTTATTATACATTACGTTATTCAACAAGAGTTCTACCTTGAAATCAATCTCTTTGGCTAGGATGTAGAGCCAATTTGAGACAGTGTTGTTCTTCAAAATGGTTCATGAGTATGTTACCATAGATAAAGAGCTGTAGTGTGAAGAAGCTAGAGTTATAACTGGGGAAGGAGCAGATACCGTCAAATCGGAGGATTTGGGAGATTGTGAATACAGGTGAATACAGAGGAGAAGGGGTTGAAGCCAGGGGGAAATGGCAAGAGAGGATCAGATATGCTATGGATTGGGTACATACACTGGCAAGCTTTTAGAAGGAGTTCTGGGAACATGCCTCTGGATACATGTCACGCAGAGGGGTGTGGCAGTACCAGAGCAGTGATTGGTCTATCTGACTGTGTCCCTAAAGAAAAAAGATTTTTTTTCATACTTCTTATACCATATTGTAATTTTGAAATTAATTTTAATCATACAAAATCCATGAATGCTTTAATTTAAAAACATTGCAATTAGACTAATTACCCTTTGCAAACCACCTTCAGTTCCAATCTCCTCCCTCTCCCCAGAGGTACCGGGCAGAGATGGCTGAATCCAAACTCATTTCATTCTGGGTCTTGCCAAAATGCAATGTCTACTGAATCATATCTGTGCCAGGTTTCTTTTGTTTATTGATTGGGAGGAGTTGGAAGTGAGAATAGAAATGAGGAAAATTGGGCTTACTTTGGAGAACTCAGTCCCCTGAACTCCCAAATGTGACTGAGCCGCCTTTGCTCCTTGAAGCGGCCCCTCCCTCCCCCACGTTGAGAAGGCTCATCTTGCTGGAAGACAGTGTCGCTTTCTTTTCCGAGGGAGAGATCTTAATTGTCCCTTATGCTCCTTCATCCCACTCCTTGGCCTCTCCAGACCTGTAACCAGGGCATGCTCTCATGTCAGTTATGAAGTCAAACTGGAGGGGAAGCCTTTACACAAATTTGCTAATTTTTATCAGTAGAAAGCTGGGGAAGACATGTGGAGACAGATTTTGAGGTTGCTTGACTAAGGAAGAGAAAACAGACTTTCAGATGTGACTGAATCTACTGATAGGGGTATATTTACCAGAAGTTCTGGATACAATGGGCTAGCTTGAGCAGATGTGTTCGGTTCTAATAGTTTGATTAGTTGACACAAACCTAGTTTCGACAGCAGCTCATGGTAACTAAAATTAATAAGCCAGAAATGGCTTGGAACTAAAGGACTTACGGAGATAGAAATCTTGGAGTGGATTCAGGTGTAATTCATTCAAAAAGTATTTATTGAGTGTATACTATGTGCCAGACAGTCTTCAAGAAAGCCAGAGATATATCAGTTACCAAAAACCCTATTCTGCAACGTGGAGACCTTAAATATTACTGTTGGTAAAATAATATTTATATATTTACTCTTGTCTGAAAAGTTGCAGAGGAACTTTGTATCTTATCAGAGGAAATGAATAACAATATGTAAGAAATGCCATAAAAAATTCAGTGGGGCAAAGGAGATAAGGAGTATGACAGGAAGGATGC